AACGACTATCGAACGATTGGAATAAAAAAAAGTTAAAAAATAAAATTTGGCCGGCCAACTTCACGCAGGTCGTACAATAGCATGGCACATCGATTGGATAGGTTGGCAGCAGTTACAGCTTTAACCAAAAGTTTTCACCTCAGTGAAGTTAGCCGGGCAATTTTAACTTTTTAACTTTTTATCATACCAAATCGATTGGTGGTCGTTTGGTGGTCATTGGTGGCCTAATAAAAACATTTGGTGGTCAGTCATTCTTTCATAATCAAATAATCAAAATTTGACCGTGAAGTTAGCCGAAATTTGTTTTTTTTCAACGAATTAAGTTTTTCAGGTGCTCAATCGATGCGTAATCGTTTGGTGGTAACGAATATCATAATTAAAATGTTTGGTGGTCTTTAGTTTTCGTAAAAAATTAAAAAAACGATTGCAGTGTCCAGCATTGACTGGATTGGGTGTAGGAACACACATTTACGGTCGATAAAACAGATATTTCTGAACAGATTCTCCCTTCGAAAGAATTAATCAATGCAAGAACACTAGCTGATGGTTGGTAGTCTAATTAAAACATTTGGTGGTCAACAATTAATGCACGAGGTATGAATAATAATACCTCCGCTGCACGGCGAGCACCAAAGGCTGTGATTGGCTGAGAAATGGATACAGGGGTATCGTGTCGAAACACATTTTACGTGATAAAACTTATAATTCTAAACCGATTTTGCTCGGCATGGTCCCGTTCGAAGCAGAAACACTACCCGACGATTCGTAGTCTACTTAAAACATGTGGTGGTCATCAATTATTGCACAAGGTATGAATAATCACACAAAGGTTGTGTAGGGGGGTGCGGAGGACATGGTGGGGGTATGTCAAGTTTATACTATAGCAACATGTACGAGGTTCGTATCATTAGTCAGTCACTCGTTACAGCCATTTAGACAATTAAATTGCGAATAACAAATTAACCCTTTCGCTACGGCAGTCTGTTCCGCGGGAGTAGCGCCACTGAACGGGGCACTGCGCTTACGTCTTTCAATAGCACTTTGGAATTGTCTTGTATGTATACTTTTTTAAGAGTTATGTAACTGTTTCGTCATATTATATAGAAAAACATAAACATGAGTATATTGTGGGTATTCAGAAATTTACATATTAACAAAGTAGTAGATTCTGTGCTACCAACGAAGTCAGGGTAGGTGATCTCGCGGCCTCCGACTATAGTCGGCGTCCGTACACACAGCACTTCGCGTGGCCGCCGACTATAGTCGGCGTCCGTAGCGAAAGGGTTAAATATAACTTTTTCAACTTGGTACCAAAACTTTCTACAATCTGTACTCATTATATTATTATTTTTTTAATAATTAGCATATCGACCTTTGCTATGCCGGCATAGCTGTTGTAAAGAATAATATTGTGAGCCTAATGGATTCCGTGATTTCTTAAATGAATTTAGCATTCTCGCATAATGTAGACTCACACTGACAATGAGAATTATCGCAGAATGAAATTTACGCAATATAGATTAAAACGTAGCGCTTTTCAAACTTAGTATTACGGGCATCGTTCTAATAAATTATTTATAACTACAATACATTTTTACGATATACTTTTATTTTAAACTTTAAAAAAAATTCTATTATAAAATATTAAAAATTAAAATTTTGGCCCCACCCCAGGCCGCCATAATGACACCCTGGAACTCGTACCTGTACGACCCGTGGTGGAATCGTCGGCTAATGTTTCTGCTTCGAACGGGACCATGCCGAGCAAAATCGGTTTAGAATTATAAGTTTTATCACGTAAAATGTGTTTCGACACGATACCCCTGTATCCATTTCTCAGCCAATCACAGCCTTTGGTGCTCGCCGTGGACCTTTGATTGGTCGAAGTTATTTATCTGTGAAAGATTCGGCCAATAAACAGTCTGACGGACTAAGGGCTCATTTCAGCTCCTTCAGACCGAAAGCAGCGGGAAGCGGGAAGCGAGCAGCGGAATCTTGGCCGCGAAACTACATTTTCTGCCTTTTTATATTAGGTAGTCGTATGAAAGCATTAAGAAATAAGTTATTTACCTTAATTACGTATATAGAGTCAGGTATACTACATTGAAAATAGTAATACATAATTTTTCTTAAAACATGACTTCATTACTAAGCAGATTCCAATGCTTGGACTGTGATTTTGGAAAGTTGATCAACGTTCAACGTATATACGTTGGAAGGAGGTACCACTCTATCTAAAGTTTCAAGCTGCTCGCTGCTCGCTTCTCGCTTCCCGCTGCGTTCGGTCTGAATGAGCCCTAACAGATACGTTGTATGAAAAAGACTCCTAACTTTGTGCAACCAATCTCATGATTGAAATTTTATTCTTCATTTTTCAAAAAGCTGATCAACCAATTAGGCTACAATTACTACAAACTTAATAGGCCGACCAGTCCTGACTCGAAATTTTGAGAGTATCTAACCTGTCCTTTAAAAGTGTAATATTAGAGTCAGATCTCGGAAGTATTGGAAAGAGGAGTTTTTAAATCAATTTCAGCGATTTAGTAGAATTTATGTGTGGTGGGGTCATGAAAGTGTATCGAAACGATTGTGTGTGGTTGTGTTATTATAAATAACAACAAAACAGATGTTTTTATTTATTTAAACACAGATCCAAGATTCTCTCAGAGGTTCTACTTGGGCCAGTTAGGGTGGCGCAACCAGTCACTTCAGACGGCAAACTGGAGACGTTACATTTTTGTCATTTCATTTTATTCTGTGATTTTATTTCACTGGGTTTGTTGAAAGGGTAAACAACTGTTGGTGACGTTAAATAGCAAATATTATATCTTTTTCCGTTAGGTAAGTATCATGCAATATAATTTATTTAATTCGCTAGCCAACCTTACACGACTCTGGTTTACAGTTATCACCATTTATACGAAATGATCGTTTTTACTTTCCGAGTGTCTAGTTACAAACTTTCTTGACTATTTAATAACATTTCTTATAATTGTGATATTAATCACAAGATGTTATTTTTATAAAATAATGTCACTTATGCAATAACAGTTTTTTATTGCCTAATGCATGTTCTGTTTGAAAATTCTATCTTGCTGACATTAAGATTGTATGTTATAGCTTTTTTTAGTATGGAATTTTATGGAATTTCACGTTTTATACATTCTGTTAATATTAATCTCTAAAAGACATTTGTCGATTTTTGGCTGTACATTGGTGTTATATTTTTCTAGTAGTATCACTTTAACATATGTATTAAAACTTCAACTCAAAAACTTTAGAAGTCATTAGAAATCCACTTGTCTAAAAGTTAATTAATTGAGTACAATTATTACGTATTAAGTTTATTTATAATTATTTGATGTTTAAGGTACGATAATTGTTAGCAGACTAATAATGCCGTTAGTAAAGAAACAACCTAGGGTTAAAAGGGTTAAAGTGCTGACAAAAAGGATACAATTATTTGGTGGCCGCAGTAAAGCAAAATCTTATAACACAAGTATGTCCTGCAAGTGTTACCTTCGTTACAAACTGCTTTAAAATGTGTCTAACATGTAAAATGATATTATTTTCAGTATATGGAAAACTTAAAACAAACAATAATTCCTTGGCAAAAGCTCTTTCCAATCAAAAACAGGAGAATCAATTATTATTTAGCCAAAATGTTGAGCTACGTGCTCAGCTTCATGCACTGGACACTGCTTGTAATAAGCGTGATGTAAGTCGTGTGGAAAGTCACATGTAATTAATCGGAATACTGATTAAAAATATTTTTTAGCTGATAATTTCAAAAATACACAAGAATGCCAAGGACATTCTTGGTATGCTGGTCAACATGACAAATTCTGTGACAAAAACTATCATCTGTTGTCAAGAATTTACGCCTTTAACAGACAATAATGCACGCAGTTCCATAGGGACAGTTGCAAGTAAGATTAGATAAATAATAAACAATAACTACACAATCGGCATCAAATTTTAATGCATGATCTTCTGTACTAGGGAAAGACTCAACTAGAAGGCATTCGGAAAAAGCTCCTGCAAGGGGTATTGTCAAACCTATGGTGAGTGGACACACCATAACAAAACCCACAATAAATTTGAGCCGATTAAATATGGGTCAACTTACTACTATTGCAAATCTTAGTAATATTGAGGAAATTGCATCTCCTTCCCAAGCAAGCCCTGTGCTAACTGATATTCGAACACCAGTAACTACATCAGCTAATGAAAATAGGACTAATTATGTACGTAAAATAAAAATATTTTACTACCATCAATCTTTAAAAATATTCATAGTTACAAGAAAATAATAAATTATTTTATATCTCAGGATGGTAGAAGTAGACGTAGGCTACCGGAAAGAATTCCAATTCTTTTCTCCGACGGTGAGTATTTTAATCGAAAATTTACATATAATTGAATAGCTGACATTTTTATGTAATTGAAAATTTTTCATAGACGAGGAGGTGCAAAGATTAAGCAGAAGAAATGGACGTTCGAGCAGACACTCCAGAAGGAGTTCTAATATATTATCCAAAAGTATAACCAGTAGACACAGCAATAATGCTCTCTTAGAACGCATCGGAAGTCCTCGAGTTGCCTTGAATGATGTCTCAAAACTCTTGCGAAATTCGCAGACATTTAACGTGCAACAGGTGCGCTATTTAACTATTTTAAACTAAAGTTTATCTTTTAGCAATTCAATTAGTCTTTCATCTATTATTTCCAATTACAAAGTTATCAGAGGAATCACGCGAATCAATCTCAAATAATAATTCCACCGTTGAGGAATCAACTCACGTACAGCCGATAACAAGACCAATGTCTCAGTTGCAAACGGGAACTCCAAATGATCAATCAACAGAAGTGAATACAAACATAGAGCATTTTGACCGTGAACCCAAGAAACAGATCAAAAGAAACACAGTGACTTGGGAGGATCCATTGGAAGGGCCTAGCTGGAAATATAATGCATCTTCTGTAATGAATGACTTGTCAATATATGAAAGAGATGTAATACCAACAGGAAGTAGTAATGCTAATACCATTAATGATCAATCAAATCAAAAGATTAAGTCGCCAAAAAATCCAAATGATTGCATCAATCTAGATGAGTCTATGGAGTTCACAGAGTGTATTACTAATATTACTGGCAGACCACCAGTAGCCGGTGGACCTTTTCTAAAGTTTCATGATCCCTCATGTATGCTTCACCAAAGTAATAATGTAGAAGTGCGAGCTGCACCACCGACTACCGTAGTCACTACCAATTCCGAGATGAATAATGTGGATCTCGAGGAAGAACCGGTGTACAATTTTCCTGGGCCTTTCGTAACTATTCGTCAGCACTCTACATTTGACGAACGTACAATTTTCTTGGGCGTTTCGTAACTAATCGTCAGTACTCTACATTTGACGATGAAGACGACGATGATTATACATTAATGTACATGCCACGTCAAAGGCAAGCCAATATGAATTACGATGTGAATGATCTTAAACTGCCAGTTTTGGAAGGACCTATAATACCACCTTCGACCACTGACGAGTCTGAGCCTGAGGTTACAGTAACAGTACAGAAGATCACACAGAACTTCCCAGTGCCTGCTTTATCGAATGACAGCGTAGATCGCCCCATGTTCGAGCAGACGATTAACGTTAACCTTCCACAAGTTCCTGATGTTGACGATCAGACTGAAAGGATTTCTTATATACGGAAGAGGTCTTCTGCATCTAATGTTCAGAAAGGGAAACGGATGTTGCTTAGTGTTAGCGAATCTCCATTATTAAGGAATGAAAAACTTAAAAAGAAAAGGAAGCCTGTTAGCTGTGCTAAAGATCCCAGCGCCGTGAAGGTTGTTTCGCAGAAACTGAATGAAACTTTTGTTAGAGAAAAGTCACCGTTACCGTTACAATCACAATCACAATCAATATCACCGTCACAGTCACGGCCATCGCCATCGCCATCGCCATCGCTATCACCATCGCCACCGTTACTGTCACCAGAACGTATTAGCTCACGAACTACAGGACGTTCTAGGTATTTTTAATTAAAATTTATTCCACCGCTTAAAGTTTTTGGTCAACGTAAAAGAAACAGCCTAACTTAAAAACTTCAACGGTTATTAACTATTTCTATCTCCAGGAGAAATGTATCAACGTACTCTCAGGCAGAAGTGTCGATGGATTCTGAAAACAGTAGTAACGCCAGTATCAACAGTGAAACAAGACCAGGTCGACCCAGACGGCAGAAAGCACCAGTGAATCTGAAGGAACCAAATTTAAAGAGGTAGGTAAACCGTTTAGTATCATGTGCTGCGAGTGAAGCAAAAGGATATAATTACCATAGATAGTTTGAAATTGGAAGCTTTTCAATTTTTCAGAAAACTTCAAAGAAATTTTTAAAAAACTTGGATGACATCTTGGAGTATTATCGAGAACACTTATGATGAAGCACCAAGGCTGGATTTGTTTGAGTGATTACGTCCTATTTATGTAAATGAATAAATTGTTATTATGGTTATGAATATTTCTTAAATGTTGTATATAAGTTGTCGCGGATCCCTATACTAGAAGCATTTGTTACAGAAGTTTAATACTTGATAGGATTATTTTATATCTTACGGATCTCATTATTTATTATTATTTTATATCTTACGGCTTAGAAATAAAAGAATCAAATTCGCTTAATGCCGTCACTATTTCCATATCATCTGTATCAACGCCACTACATATTAAAAATATAATAAGCTCTTAAATGCTTATAAGTTGTCGCGGATCCCTATACTAGAAGTATTCGTTACAGAAGTTTAATACCTGATAGGATTATTTTATATCTTACGGATCTTATTGGCATTTACGTCATACATTCTCGTGACTTAGAAATAAAAGAATCAAATTCGCTTAATGCCGTCGCTATTTCCATATCATCTGTATCAACGCCACTACATATTAAAAATATAATAAGCTCTAACTTCAATAAAGAGAAGTAGATTAAATAGTTTTCCATTTTCTATATCTATGAATTATTATCTCCATAAGCAATATTAAGAAAGCTATGTTGATAGCCGTGCCTAATATGATGTATAGGAGATACATATCCTCGAGCTCAACGCTTCTCCAAGATTGAGAATTCGTAAATGTTCTTTTCTTAGGTTTTATAATGTTTGTTAACCTTTGAGTAATACCAGTTTCAATCATCCAGATCAACCTGCAATAATGATAAGAACAATAATACAGTATTCTTCGACGATGAAATAATTAGTCTTACTTGTAATTGATAACAGTGATGTATGGATTATTTTTTGCCATAACATAAGCCGTGTTAACTTGATATATGTCTTTAGGCAAGGTAAAGAATTCACATTTGAGCTGTGGTCGTAATTCTTCAAGAATTTCATCGTTTGCCATAAAAGCATAGTTGTTATTGTTACACACTCTCGTCAAGCCTTCGATGTAAGTCCTAGGTAATTTCGTTGCAGACTTTTCCATTACTGCTTCCTTCAGTTTAATCAAAAAGGGATTGGTAGGGTGCTGTTATTTGTGAAAATATTATTAGATTCTTCCTGCATTTAATTTTACATTAATGTTGTTACATTCATTCTGTCTTTTTGTAATTATAAACACAATTCAACTGTTGGCCAATAATAATGATGGATTCTTTTATTTTATTATGGAAGATCCGATGCCGTGGAGTAAAATAACGGGAAATCCTCGGCGTTGCCTCGACATATTTTATTTTTTCGTTAGTATTTATAAAGAACTATCTGGTAATAATTATCCTTGGATATACATATAACCTTTGCATGAAGTCAGAAGTGATGACTCTACTTGGAGTCTTCACTGCAACTGCAGGTTGCAGTTTACCAGTTGTGTTCAAATGCCATAGTAATAACATCACGATCCAAATGTGATATTTCATGCTGAGGAGGATCAGAATACTGTGATTAGGTTTGAGAAAAAATTGGAACTTGGAAGAATTTCAATTGGCCATCAATCTTGATAACCAGGGATAATCCTTAGTAATATACATATATCAAGTATAATTATTATTGTCGCTCTTGATATAATATACTGCCACTAGGCATATGAAAGCCAAATGTAAATATGCCATTTCCCTAGTGAAAATTTACTTTCATGAACGTAGAACTTATAAAGATTCTCGACGTTTCATTGATTGAAGAAAGCAACATCACCCCCTTTAATAGACTAGCAGGAATTGGAGGGGACAAAAGTATCTTGTTTGCAAATTTCAGAGAACAGTTTGGAGCGCAGAGCTGTTACATATGGTACAAATATGTGAGCAAATTTTTGTTTGTATTTACATTTTAAAGTTGAAGCGAAAAATGAAATTTTTATTTAACGGTCCGTTCAAACTTCAACTAGCTTTGTCATTCTTCTTTTTAATTTTTAGCGATACTTGCATAGTGTACAGCGTACTCAGCGCTTATGGCATTGATACCAAATTTGTAGCTGCCATCATTCAGTAAACCTTCTAGTGAAATGAACGGTGGCGTATAATAATGAACCGTTAATGATGATATCAGAGACGCTGAGTACATCATATTAATTATCATAGAAAATATTGATGCACATAGAAAGGCTGGTTGGATAGAAAGAATCATAGGTATCCTAGGTGTATCTGTATGATAGAGAAACAACAGTTAATTTTTATCTTTTTTATTTTTCTCTTTTCATTAAAAAGGAAGGTTATCTTGGTGACGCCACGAAACAGGGTGTTTTTTAATGTTGCAGAACTACGCAAGATATACATATATATATATGCAGAAAATTGGTGGCTCATATGGCCATTTGATGGGTAAAAATAATCCTAAAAAATTCTAGGATTTTCAGTTTTTTCAACGCGTCTCGTAAACTATAGAAGATAGAAAGAAAAATTTTAAATATACGGTAAGTTAGTTTTTGAGAGGCCTATCGAAAGCTGTTATTAGTTTATCCCTATTTGCAAACATACAACACCCACCCTCCTGATCGTTGTCTGTCAGGAACAATATTTCGAATGTGTTAGAGATGCAATTGTCGAGGTCGGATTGTCTATAATGTAGATCTTCGACATTGCTTTATATGCCCACAAAATTTGGGTAATCCAGATTCAAAGTTTGAAAAATATCTCTCTTTCTTCTAGACTATTTCAAAATTTCAAATGTGCGTGATGTTTATTTTCCAAATGTCAATTTCGTGTTGACGTCTGAGAATTCAACGTTTTTTTTGCCACAGTGCATTTTTCCCATCGGAACTTCTGTCAGAATGAAACAATTTTGGCAAAAGACATGTAGAATGGAATTTAAACCAAGCCGCGTCTCTTGAACAACGTTTTTCAGCGAAAGAACTTGTGTGCATTGGCAGCATATTAAATTTTCACCAAGCTCCGATACTTTTCGAATGTGTTAGAAATGCAATTGTCGAGGTCGGATTGTCTATAATGTAGATCTTCGACATTGCTTTATATGCCCACAAAATTTGGGTAATCCAGATTCAAAGTTTCTATTTCCCCGATAGCTACAGCTTTCTTCTTCGCATCATTCATGCTTTGTACCACTTTCAATCTCTTTACCATCACACTTTTTTTTAGCAACTTTCCTTTAAATTTCACACGATTCATTTTGGTGCATTATTTTCGTATTAAGATGTGCATAACCTTACTTTACAAGACTAATTTTTCGCAGTCGCGCGTAAGCAAAGACCAGACAAAACTACCTCCGTAAAGTTAGCCTGGCACCTTCGACTTATCGAATTTCTGTACTTGCACATCGATTGTTAGTCATTTGTTATTGATTGTTAGACTAATTAAAACATTTGTTAGATAATCTAATACGGTTATACTACACAACTACGATATTAATTTTCATTTGCGGAATAATGTGATTGAAATGCAATCCTTCATCCGTAATCAATTTTCGTTTCCACGATACATCAATTGGTTCAAATATACTGTTACGTTTCGTGAATTTCAAGTGTTAGGAATCACGAGACTGTTTATAGGGTTTGTGCACTGGGCAGGCGTTTTTAGAAACAATTTAGACACTTGAGTTTTTGAAATAATAAAATAATGATATATTGTCCTATAAATTACAGACTATGTAACCTTAATATTCTATTTTGGTATCGCTGGACGGGAGTGGGGGTAAGGCATGGAATATGCGATGTGAAGATGGCCGGAAATATAATTAAGGGGTCAAAACTGCAAGCTAATGCTTTTTCTTTTTTAAACTAATGTTTTTATTAGTTTATTCGGGACTAACAAATGATTCCACATCGAATGCACCCGTTTAGAAACGAAAACTGTGAAGAAAAATTATATTTCCGGCTATCTTCACATCGCATATTCCATGCCTTACCCCCACTCCCGTCCAGCGATACGGTAGATGGTTTTTCGCTATTTTAAGCGAAATCGTTATCTAATAAATGTTTTAATTAATTTATTCGGGACTAACAAACGATTCCACATCGATTGCACCCGTTTCGAAACAAAAACTGTGAAATACCGATTTCGCGTAGCCGCGCGGGTCATGATCATCGTTCCAGCCGATATTGC